CCTACTGACTGGAAGCTGGCCAACATAACCCCTATTTATAAAGGAGGAGAGATAACGTCTCCTAGTAGTTTCAGACCAGTTAGTCTCACGGGCATTTGTTGCAAACTAATGGAGAAAGTTATCAAAACCGAACTAATGAGACACATTGATGAGAAAAACTTGCTAAGCGCAGTGTAACACGGATTCCGAAGTGGACGATCTTGTCTCACTAACCTGCTAACATCCATGAAAAGCTGAACGAATTCTTTGGAAATGGGTTCGTCAGTCGATGCGATCTACATTGACTTCAGCAAGGCATTTGACAAGGCTCCACACATACGACTAATATCAAAGCTGAATCAAATGAGCGTGACTGGAAATCTACTCAAATGGTTAGCCGACTTTCTAACAGGCAGGCGTCAGCGTGTTTCTATTGGAGACACCAAAACAGAATGATAAGCCCGTTTCCAGTGGGGTTCCACAAGGAAGCGTTCTGGGTGACATTCTGTTTCTGGTATATGTGAACGACTGCCATGACTGCCTCACCTGTGAGAAGGTCATGTTTGCTGACGATCTAAAGATTTGGAAATCAGCTGAAAGCCCAGAGGATGGACGGGCCTCACAAAATGACTCGGATCGTTTTCAAAAATGGCGTGAAAAGTGGCTACTGCAGCTCTATTTCAACAAATGCTAAGTCATCCGCCTACGGTCTAGTCGCAGAAAGGTAATACCATTTGAGTATGACTACTTGATTGGAGGTCACCGACTCGGACAAGTGAATGAACTACGGGATCTAGGTGTATGTATGACGCCCAACCTCAAACCGCCAACTCACTGGGCCAAAACCACAAAGAAGGCTATGGGAACGATCAGAAGGTCCTTACTCTATTTTGACGAGGAGCTTTCTGGCGAGTCTTCGGAAAATTTGTTCGGCCGATGTTAGAGTATTGCGTCCAGGTGTGGTGCCCCTGGATGAATAAAGATTACGCAGTGCCGGAGAAAGTCCAACGTAGGGTGATCAAGCTAGTCAGCAGCTTAGGAGGTCTACCATATGAAGGTCGCCCAGGTAGGCTCAATCTTTTTCCTCTCTATTATAGGGAACACAGAGGAGATATGATAATGGTGTTTAAATTCGTCAAGGGAGTAGACTGTGCTCTTCAAATGGCTGACTTCTTTGAATTCGCACAAACGATATATCTACGAGGTCATCTGTACAAACAGAAGAAATACGGTGCAAAGCTGAACTACAGCTCCCGGTGCACAAGACGCTGTGCATGCGGCATACATTGACTTCCGGAAGGCCTTTGACAGTGTTCCACACCAGCGTATCCTACACAAGTTAAGAGTCATGGCCACGGCAAATCTCTTACGCGGATGCAGAATTTCCTCATTGGCCGGTCCCGAGTTTTCTGAGTTGAACGGCAACGGTCAATAAGCACTGTCATGGACAGTGAAGTCCCGGAAGGTTCAGCGCTTGAACAGTCCCTCATTCTCTTGTTCGTTGATGGTTGTGTACACGGATAGGACTGTGAGTGTGCCATGTTTTCGGATGATAAAGCAATATAGAAAACCCTCAATAATGTTGCCGACAAGGCTGACTTCCAGGAAGATTTTCGTCAACTCAACGAGTGGTTCCGCACTTGGCTCTTGTCCTTCAATCCGAGAAAATATACCCCGTTGCCTCTGGGAAATCGAATTCCAGTTATTGTTACGTGGCCCTACTATCTAAACGGAATGGCATCATCAGAAGTAGAAATACAGAAAGATTTCGCTGTCTGGATAAAAGACTATCGAAGCCTTTTGGACAATTTTGTAAGGCGGTTAAGGTTGCAACTTGAATGTTGTACGTCATTAAGACTGCCATTCAAAAATATTCTATGCCTTTATAAGGCCACGTCTACCCATGCCCGGGACCGTGTACACAGTAGAATTACAACCTACTCGAAAGGGTGCAGCGGCGAGCCACAAAATAGTAAGAGGCCAAGGTGCATTGCCATATGAAAGCCGCTTTCATACGCCTAATCTGTATCTTCTGAATTGTAGACAGCTACGTGAAAACTTGATACGAACTTTACGTATCTTGTGTGGCTTGGACTGCCCTCTGGAAATGAACCTAAAGGATGAGTGGATGTAGGGAACTATTTAATCTCTAACCGGGTCGTATAACCCTGAAATAACCTACCCGAGGCGATTTTTTAACAAAAGCTATGGAGACGTCCAAGGATTGTTTGCAAAGCCATATGTTGCAGCATAACATCGACTTTGTGACTGATGAATCCCAAATTACTGGCGAATATTGTGGTTCTGTGTGAATTCACCTGTATTTTGTTTAACGTTGTTTCTAATTCGAGAACTTTGTAGGTGAAAAACGGGAATGTTAACTTTTTAAGACAGTTTTCCCCAAAAACACAGACTGACAGGTCTATGATAACCGTTACAAGTTGGCTGGCGATCCGTATTATGCTATCAGACGGGAAGATATCAGCGTCAGGATCCGTTCCTGGTGGTCTATTGATAGTTAGACTAAAATGGCTTGTATACATCATCATAGTAAGATACCGCACTGTTAAGTAATTTTTTAAATACATCGATACTCCTTTATTCTGGCGATCCCATCTCTCCCAAATATTTGGAATCATGGGAGTGCTATTTCGCCATCAATTATGCTTTATCTCAATCACGTTTTCGTTAATGCGAAAAAATCTGGGGACATCAAAACTACCTATATCTTCAGAACTGATTCTGTCGATGTTATACAATAATGTTAGTTTGGAAGACTCAGTAGTAGACTCCAGTTTTTTACTGTTGCACTGCTGCTGAAGATAGCTTGAGCGCTTGATCATCTAGATTTACAAAAAAAATCCAGGATCAGGCAATGATCTGTAAGGCTTGGTTTGGTTGATGTCAACTCTTACTGAAATAGCTCCTAAACCTGCGTCGAAATCGGTTAGCAACATAACGTTGTCTTCCGAGGTAGCCCGGCAACGCAGGTTCCAATCAAAGGTGTGTTTGCCGAGAGGTTAAGGCATTAGTATTGATGTATCTAAAGGTAATTGTAAAAAAAACATTCAAACGGTTAATATAATAATCTCTATCCATGCCTTCAAACAGTTCGCAAAATAAGTGAATTAAAACTTCCATCTTGTTTTAATTAGATCCACATCCGCTAGTTGGTTTCACTTCTTCGGATCATAGTCATGTCGCGCGTATACGTTGGTCGTCTGCCTCCGCGTTGTTCAGAGCGTGACGTTGAGCGTTTTTTCAAAGGATACGGTCGTCTACGTGACATTGTTTTGAAAAATGGCTATGGCTTCGTCGAATTCGACGATTACAAGGACGCGGACGATG